AGTACCATCTGCAAATATGACAAAAATATGAGCATACGTAGACATTATGCAATATGCCTTTTCATCGGAAAGTTATGTGAGTGTTTTTTCCGTCAGAAGTGTAGCTCTCAAAGCTTTATTACTGAAGCCATCAGATGAAAACACAAGAGTGTGTAAATATATGATCATAAAGAAGAGTTTTATTGGCTTGAAATCCACATTGAAAGATGTAACAAGTCAAGGAACCACTTGAAATTAAGGAGAATTGGACAATGCTTCTTTTCTAGTTTATCATATACCATCAAAGCAAAAGCTTAAATACATTCACGACTGGGGCCGAAGTATTCAAGTCTAAGGATAAAAGTGACAGCCTCATATCACTCCGCTAAAACCTAAACGTCAACTTAGCGAGAATATCATTGGCTGACATTCGTTCTTACTACTGACTTGTCTATCTCAATAGATTCCATCTTACGAACAGTCTTATGAAATTTCTATTGAAAAAATGAAAAGCTATTTTTAAGTTATAGTTGATTTGTTCACTAACCATTTCATAAGTATTCTAATTTTATCAAGGGATTGACTGTGGAATGAGATGATAAGTTTTCAACTAGATCAAAACACTGCTATTTAATTTTTAATGGCTTATTTGATATAACTAAACGATTGAAGCTAGGTCCAAGTCTTAGGTGGGGAAAAGATACGAATTCTACTCTTTTTTTGTCCTTTAATTCAAGTATAGTACTGATGAGTGAATCTTCCTAACTGTAAGGTTATTCTAATATTCAGTATTATTCCAATACCATTTTTTTAACGAAAAGTTCACTGCTACTCTGTCATATTACCTTCATGTGATCTTTTATGTATTATACATTTCTGAATTGGTTTGACCTATATTTTCCAGGATTTACACCAATGACAAACATTAAACAGACAAATTGACAGTAAGAGATGAAAAGAATATTTTTTTTAAAAACATTTCTATAGAGTAACACTTTCGCTTTAAATTATTTACTGAAATGCGAACACTTTGCGTTGGAATTTAGTTAAATTGATTCTGTCAAAAAGTTTATCTGTCTCTTCATTCAGTTTTCCTTGTTTTTACTGTTTATAATGTTTTCTCGGTTAAGTAAATAAATAACGTCTGAGTGAACTTGACAGATCAAGACATTAAGACAATAAACAAAAATAATATTCTTAACAATAGACATTCAAGATTAACTCATCATATAAATCCAGTTAGTTTTTCAATGATGTGCATAGTTTCTAAATTTTCAACCCTACTACGTAAACAGTTGTTTAGTATCTAATAGCCTGCCATAAAATGAAAACTTTGTAAACATTCGTCTATGAAACTTCACAAATAACCTTTTTAACTTTTTTATCAAGGACCAAAATCGTTTGAAATAACAGTGAAAAACTGTCAGGATCGGATAGTTGTGGCTAAAATGGGACGTGCTGGCTCCTAGCCCTGAAGGTCCTGGTTTCGAATTCTGACAAAGTTGACAGTGCACATTTCTAAGGAGTCCCAAACCGGGATGAGACATTCATCAATAGTTCTGACACCTATGTGACAAATTTGGAATTGATCAATCCTTACAAACTCCTCTTTCTACTTTAGTTTACACTGCTGAAGTTAGTTTTAATGAAACACATACGTAGTGCTACCTTTGGAATTCAGCTCACTAACCTTTGTTGTAATATTCCAGCTATCAGACTTGAAGTAAATACATTTTTAACTTGGAAGAGATAAGATCATAAACTTGAAATCTAAGAGAGTAACATGGCCAGACTAAAACATAGCACCAATGTATGAAGTCTCTGACTGTTGGTTTAAGCCATGTAGGACGATGCAGACTAGGTGGTTGGGGTCCACGGGACAAGAGGAACCAGTGGTTGGAGACTCTAGGTGATATGGCTCAGAACCGATGTCAGTGGTGCAGATGTATACACACATTATCCTCATCTTAACTACACTGTACCGAATCTCACCGTTTTGTCACTCCTCTTTCCTTCTTCTCGTACTTTATATTTCTTTTGACTGCATTCACTTATCTTCATCCTTCACCTCACTACCTTTCTATTTGATGAACTGATGTGAGGTGTGGCAACTCGGACCGTTACGCAGTAATGCCTGGTCCTATGTTGATAATGATTGGTCGATTGATTGAGGAGAGTAACAATTTAGGCGACTCCTTACACTTCACATTCTCATGAAGTAATTGAAAATCAGCAATATATCGAATTGATGATAGAAGCATTAACAAAAGATTCACAGAATTAACCATAGAAGACAAAGGTGAACAGAAGGAACGTCATTGGGATGATAAAAAATTGTCGATCATATACAAGTGGGCTATCAATGATAGAATCTTTCAACTATCTGATATTAGAATGTCTAACTTAGATGTTTTACTTAGGTTAGTTCATAAGTTACACATATGATCTACTGTAATTTTTAAACAGCACTCATTTTGTCAATGAAAGTTAAATAAATAATTTCCATTATGGTGAATCTCTCAGCCGATTATCTTATCATATGAAACAATTGAACTGATTTTAGTATATGATAGTTCAATGCAAATTGCACACAGTATGGTTGAATTACTTTAAAACATTGTACAGGAGGATGTATTTCTCTATGGATTTTATGTTTACTTTATTATTTAGGGATTTAAGACTGTAGTAATACAGATTTTTATTCCTTTATAACTTCCAGAGGGTTTAAGGGATAATATTATCCTGGTGTTAAAACTCAATTCGATACAGTTGTATACTGTTTATCCTTCTACTTACGAAATGGATTAAGATCCTATTCTTTCTCAGATATGGTTGTGTATAAACTTGAAAAGTTATTATGTATTACATTTCTTCATTTCATTTTACCGTATTTGTCAGACATGTCACGAAGAGAAACAGTGTTTGTTATTCCTATAATGTGTTTGATAAACAAACTTACCACAGTACCTAAGTTTTACTTTTATATATTAGATATCATCATCCTTTTGCCTTAAAAAGGACCGAGGTGAAAAGGCTTAAGCAATTTCCAACTCAAGTTCATCATTCTTTTAGTGACAAAAAGGAAAACCATGTTAATCAACTGTGTTTTTTTTTTACAAAAGTGTAAACCGGAATATCTAACTGTTCAGTACTAATCACAATAATAACGCATCAGACATAAAATACACTAACATCTTTAAATACATAAAAAATCAAACGATTGTTTACATAGTGAATGAATGTGAGCAATACATAATGTTTTTTATTCCGATGGATAAGTTTCGATATGTTTTAATCTTCAGAGTTCATTCAGGTAAATAGAAGCTCAAGTGTATTGGAAAAGAGCTTATTTTCTTAACATCTTTAACTACAGAAGAAACAAATTTATATACAGTTGGTTGTATGCAAACATTGTCTGCCAGAGTAAAATCACATTGCAGTACGCTCACCTCATGAATGAAGGAAGATGAATATCTAGTAACAGTCTTTCGGGAGAACAGTTTCCATCCAATAGTATCAGAAAGTTTCCGAAGTAGTCATCACCAGCTTCAAAATTATCCTTTAAAGTGAAAAGTCAGACTGTTTTATCGTACTTAAGTAACATCTCAGAGGTTACAAATAAGTTATTTAAGCTATAGGAACTGTGAGAAATTTTGTATTAGACGAAAAAAGTGCTATTTTTGTCTTCATATGAATGAAAAGCAGCTACCAGGTTTGCATTACATCATTACTTTGCTCATATTCATTTCTGTGGATATGAATCTGATTGGGAAAATATAAAAATTTTTAACTAAGAAAATATTAAGAGTGCTGGGAATTTTTGAGAAGCTTGGTACTCAGATCAGTTATTAATTAACAAGCATATGATACTAGTCTATCAAAAATATGAGACACAACCTCATTGTCATAGTTTAGGTTAACAGGAAAACTTTTAGAAATACCTGTGTAGACAATAACAGAAGGCATCACTAACACATTAGTTCATCCATAAAGGTTGCTTAGATGCCTTTTACGACATTTTCATCGTTCACTTCTTTCTTTGGCTTGAGTTAATTATTCTGTCTAAAATGTTAATGAAGCCTTCATAGTTAAACTCATCAGCTCATAAAATGTGATGCTGGAAAAACATGTTTACCACCTGAATTTCAAAGAGATAGTAGCTTGAAAACCTGAGACTGGAAAGAAACTATAGTCATTAGATGATTAATTCCCAGCTGTTCTTCACTTCTATCTAATTCATGTATGTGATGTCCAAAATAACTGAGTAATCCTTAATGGATCATTATTCATTTTCTGAATGAGCGTTTTATTTCTACTCCTAAAATGTTCCCTTAAATTATGTTATAATAATCTTGAAAAACACATGAATAAGTCGTAAGAATATATGGCTTTCTGATAATTTCTACTTTTTAACTGTTCAATGGTAAATTTTTATATAATCTGTCAGCTAACTGATGCTGTTTCAACACACGTATTCTTGAGGAGAAATATGCAAATTTTTTCTATTTTTGTAGAGATGAAAGCATAGATTTCAAACCCTCTTCACATGCAACTGGTTTAAAAATAGCAGTAATACTACCAGTATTTGCTTAAGCAATCATGTTGATAAATAGTTTCTTACTGTTTTCATCCAATATGGTCATAAATTCAATTGCCATGGGATTTAGTCTATACAACCCATGATATCTTAGAATTGTAGACTCTGCCAGACATCTACTTCATTTATAACTGTTAAGTAAAAAGTAGAAGTAGTCTAAACACTATGATTTTCATATTTTCAGAATGATCTTCTTTCGATAGTATGAACAAAGCTTGTTGATTTTGCGATAAATAACCAAAAAGCTAGGTCAAACTGAATGTAAGTCTGACTATCTTTAAGCACTTCAAGTCAACAAAACTATTAAACAGTCTGAGATGAATCAAAACTGTTGAGATATCGTTTCCATCTATCAAAATAAGAATAGCACTTATTACTTCATCTACCTCAAAAATTTGTTTTATTCCGCATTTTTCGAATTTAGGCCAAGTCGATGGGCTTACTGGAGCATTTGATAACTCCGACTGGAGTCCAGGTTCCCTGACAAAAGCATTCTATGTTGGATTATTCGCTTACTCTGGCTGGAATTACTTAAACTGTATGATTGAAGAAATGAATAACCCTCGTCGTGATCTACCATTGGCTATTATAATTTCTTGTCTGCTTGTTACATTTATTTATACTATGGCAAATGTAGCCTATGTTACTGTGGTTTCACCATATGAAATACTGACAACACCAGCTGTCGCTATCGTAAGTTGAAGATTATAGTATACTGGCTTATTCATTGAAATAAACTTTTCTCTGCTATTGTTTTTGAGTATTTTACTCATACCGAAGCTTGACCTACAATTAATCGTTAGGCTATCTACTCAAGATAGCAAATAGTCGGGTTTTTTTCGTGTAAAATACCAGTCTTTCAAAGTGCCTGTCAGCGTAATTGCTTACAGATACAAAGTGATTTCTTTATCAAGTTATTTTTTGTGTGAAAACTTGACCAAATGATTTTCTGATTGGAATTAAATAGTGATGCACAATTACGTTTCAATTTTACCTAAAACCACAATGTACGCTAAGCTATGAAATACACCTTGTGTGAGGGCTTCTTATACTATTCGGTTACTCAGGTCGATATGGGTAGAAATGGATTTCAATCGTAAAACGGCTGCTCTAATGTAAGTCATATCTCTAATGCGGTAGGCAACAGTCAACTAAGCTAATAAATATTTTCTTTAATGAAAGTTATGCATTTTTATTACTTAAACTTAATGATTTACTTGTTAGGGGGACACCTGAGTAATCCAGACAGTATTCATTTAAATGAACCATTCAGCTACATTAATTTAGAAATAGTATCCATTATGGACTGACATCATTTGGGGAACCATTGAAAATCTGGGAGCACTGGACAGCTGTTTCGCCCTAGTGTGGGACTCCTCAGCAGTACGCACCCACGACCTGGCTAGGGGTCGAACTCAGGACCTTCAGGTTCGACGGCGAAAGCGTTAACCATTCAGCCACTGGGTCGGTTTCCAGTGGTTTCAATGGTTCCCCAACTGATGTCAGTCCATGATGAATACTACTTCTAAATTAAAAATCCCCATTCATCTCAAAAAATACATTACTCCATAGTGCTCATTAGTGACTTGCTTTCAGATGGATTTTAGGAAGTTCTAATGAGAAGCCGTCGGAAGTGAAGTGGATGCTAACTGAAGACTTTGGGTGACAGTCGCTCTATGTTGTGAATTGACAGAAGTTGGAAATTGTGAACCACTGGAAACCGACCCAGTGGCTGAATGGTTAACGCTTTCGCCGTGGGACCTGAAGGTCCTGAGTTCGACCCCTAGCCAGGTCGTGGGTGCATACTGCTGAGGAGTCCCATACTAGGACGAAACAGCTGTCCATTGCCGCCAGACTTTCAATGGTTCCTCAACTGATGTCAGTTCATGATGAATACTGCTTCTTAATTAAAAATCCCCATTCATCTCAAAAATGCATAACATTAATTTAATTTCTCCCAAAATCTAATGAATTTTAAGTAGTAGAAGCGAAAAAGAAATAATTCACATTACTCTGGATTAGTTCTCACATATATTGTCAGTCAAGTTAGCAGATCTACTGGAAAATTAAGTAATCTCATGTCACAGCTGAAAAAAAAAACCAGTAATGAAACGTTACCCACCGAATATTAAAGTCATCCTAACCTCAAGCTGTATGCCCCTTTTTTATTTCAGGACTGTTATACTTTAAGATGATCTAATATGCATCCCAAAATGTCTTCCCTTACATTATATTGTAACAATGTGCATATCATAAAAAAACGTGACTTCATTTTTCAAGTGTTATCCACTATATTCTCATTGGTAAGTTCATATTTATTACCAAAAGGAGTATAGTAGATAAATTACAAAAAATAACAACAAAAATGGTGCTTAAAACATCATTATAAATGACTTTGTAGTACAGAAACACTGACTAATTGCTTGAGAAGTGTAAGCAAGATTATTCCTGAGTTCAAGCTAAAAGTAAACTTTACGGGTAGAATCTCTCTTCCTTTGGGTCAAAAAAGTACATATATAAATCCTTCTGCTCCTGTGGAGTGGGTTATATTGAACTTAATTTCAGGACACCTAGATTCCTCACGATGTAATTAGTGTTATGATTAAACCAAGAAACAGATACATCCCTTTGAGGCTTACCACTCAGTAAAGGCAATAGTATCATTCTCAGTGGTACATGAGATTGTGAGTGCACAATCTGATAAGTCCATATTCACGACCACTAGAAGGTGGAAGCAGTAGCCATAAAAGTAAAGGTATAGAATTATCTACTATAAAAGCTTTTTCCAAACATTTACGTTTAACCATAAAATACCCCTAATACATGATGTAACTACTTGGACTTTATTTTCCTGACATATCTCGTGTTTTAAACATGATTCTTAGTCATTCACTGTGAATCGATAAGTATGACAAATGAATGCAACCCAGTGTATGCATATGTTTTGTCATTCCTACATGAAATTACAATCACAAATGACATGATAGTCAATATATGAAAAATATTTACCTCTTTTTAGAAAGTCTATGAATGTGAAATAAGAGAAATATCATTTCTTCCAAACAGACTTGAAAATAGAATAAACTGATTTACATACGTATAGGTTTCAATGTTCGTTACACTCAGTAACAATGATAAAAGGGAAATTTGATTTGATTTACGCTGTATTTTACGTTGTAGATGATGCGAATGGCAAAAAAGGCTAGGAAAATAAAATATCACTGTATTTCTTATTTTTGTTTATTGATGAAAAATTACTAAATTGCAGTCAAAGGCAGTTATTTCGTCTATTCAAGCTGTTAAAATTCGACTAAATATGTTGACCTTCAGCCGTCAGCATCACTAGATAGCTATCTTAACACTTTATCCCTGTCGAAATTAATCTTTTGTTTCATTCCTATAGAATGCAACGAAATAGTCAATCTACTTTTTATAACCTCTAAATGTCTGCTGAAGTTTTATAAGTTTGTTTTATACATTGCCTATGTTCTCACATCCTCCCACTAACTGGCATGAAAGTTTTTCCTACATACACTGTATCACAATTGAAGGATTTTATTTAATGAGCGTAATTCTGTTGGTTTTATGAAGATATTACATCCAATGAGCTTCTTCAAGGCAGAATTTATGTTGTTTGTCGTTTAGAAATACTTATTAGGCATCTTAATTGCCTAGAAAACCTCACTTCGTTAAGGAGTTATCACGGAGTTAATCCACTTCTTCAGGGCACACTTAGGGTACATCCTTTTTAGTGGGTGTTTTATTTTTCATATGCCAAGTAACTATTTTATATTACTGTTTTAATTTATACAAAATAATAATCCTCATACATTTACTTCACTTTTGAATTTCATCACATCCATTGTTCAATTATCTACTATTATGTGTCATCGGTTCAAGTCTTACTCTGCACTGTATTACGTAACATTAACTCCAACTTTGATTTATTATATGTGTACGGATTGTTTATTTATCTATGGATACCACATGTGTATATTTTAATGTGCAGACAAAAATACGCATTTACTTAAATAAACGACCTTTTCGACATTTTTCGAATGGTTTGTATGTCCAAATATGATCCTGATTAGTGAAGCATTTTGTCATTGGGAACAATTTTTTTAAAAAATGCTCCGTTGTGCATGACGTTTACTTCTAATCAACGTTCACCATTTTGTAATCAGTATATAGGAGATAAAGCATTTTAGAATTATTATGATCATCATATTTCACCAGTTTAAAATTCTTCTAGAAAATGAATGCATATCTTAAGATACTGTGGTATATTTGGATAATATGTCTGTAAGTTGGCTCTTCAATAGTTCACATCAAGTATTTTGGTCACCGTATTCTAAATTAAGTTGGATCTCAAAAAGGAGAAGACAACTCAGGACAGTCAAAGCCTTGTAAATATTTTTCAGTTTCTAAAAGATGCTAGTCTATTGAGTGATACTACAATAAGTCTCATTTACATATTTGACATACTTCACAATGGATATTTGACTAAGGACTATTCCTGGTAATATTTTGAATTTTTGACAAGAATTTAGATTGAAAGCCTTTTTCTTTCTTAAACTCTGTACTGTTTTTAAGTCTTGATTCTTTCTCTTTGTATTTCAATAGACATTTGCAGTACGAATCTATGGAGTTATGTGGTGGATCATGCCAATATTTGTTGCCTTATCAACATTCGGTGGAGTTAATGGCACTATAATGACTACATCAAGAATGTTTTTTGTTGCAAGTCAAGTAAATCAAATGCCAAGATTATTATGCTTTTTGCATGTACACCGATTGACACCAATATCTGCAGTTATATTTACAGTAAGTGGGTTTATTATTTATAACATTGTTTTTATTGAATACCACTTTCAAGACATGTAGGAGTGAGTTGATAACAATCTGTAACTAATTAGGTAATTGGGAGTTTGTTCTATAAGTAAAATGCTAATAATATATAATGAATATGCTCTAAAATAGAACCTTCCACTGAAGTTTAAACAAAATAATTTACAGGGATTAGATGAGCTAACTTAGATGTTTCAAAACAAGTCAGTTAACTGGAAGATTATGCGCTTATTATTAGCTAGGACTAATACTTCATATCACTTGAGATTCGTTACCTAGATCCATTCTGATTCATTGGTGTGCTCGTTAACATTTGAGTTCAGTACTCAATGCTTTAAATGTCAGAAGGTTATCCACTAGATTGTTCAGTGAACATAGTTATATTTCATTGGTTTTAATATACTTTTTTATTATTAAAATTTGGAAATCATCATCTGGAATGATTAATCGTACAACCGGATTCTACTACTGGTCACTGGAAAATATATAATAGACTTTCTACCACATACAATACTCAAGTTCATATAAACTAACAGAGACAGATTAGTTCACTTAGGTATAGGAGGCATGAAACACATTTGAAATACATAAGTGATTTTTAAAACCAATTGATATAGTATACCTTAAGATTGATGCATATATTTTAGAAATCGAAAACATTTATTTCCCGATACAAATTTAAAACAAGCAACAAACGTAATTAAAGCAGTACTTATTTGAATCCATAAATTTCAGTAGGACTCTTCAGCTTTTTATTCTACATACATGATTTTATATACTGTTGTCTAATAAAAGAATACACTCATACATGATACAGACTAAGACAGTGACTGAGGCATGACAACATGAAATCATTTACTTATATCAAACAGAGTTAAGATTTTGTTGGGAGGGGGTAACGAAATGATCATGAAAAATATAAGTACTGGGGATGGATTACATCATTTTGAACAGAACAATTAGTAGTCAATTAGACAGCTTGATAAAGGTGCACACTAAGAGAACCTAGGTGTTACGCAAAAAAATACGTGAATAATAGGAAGAAATAAGGTGGAAAAACGAGACGCTTATAAATAAAAATAAATAAGCTCAAAAACACCTCTATTATGGTAGATTCAGGGTGCCTACCATCTCTTTCTTTATACATAGACTAGGTTTACAAACTCTAATCTAACATGCTTCCACGATTGCAAGCATTTTATCTATTCCGCTATCTGCTGACAACCGTGAAGGCTTCGGTGGTGTCAACATCATGTCGATAATCCACCAGGTGTTTGGTAATCGAACTCGAACATATTTTAGTTAGAAATAAATGAATGGATTAAGGAGTAATCAACTTTCGAATCTTCCTAACCGGTTTAGCCATAGTTTCTTTCATTGATAATACTAATACTAAAGACTAGTTTATTCTCTATAAATTTGATACAGAATATGAAATAAACATTTAAAAACTTTTTTTCTTTCAAAAAAATAAAATCTAGTGTATAACATCATTAATATATTTGTTTGTTGGTGATATCTACTCATTAATAACGTATCTTGGATTTGTACAATGGCTTGCAATCGGTTCATGTGTATTCATTGTGCTTGTATTTAGAGTGACTAGAAGAAATCAACCACGTCCTGTGAAAGTGAGTTTCTATTCAATTAGAGGTTATGCAATCATCTGTCGATATTACTTTATTTCCTTTACCTATTAATATGCAAATTTTCATCATGAAGTTGAGAATAATACTACTAGAATCAGAATAAGTAGTATTTACTAATTCTTTTTAAAGAATAATCAAACTGCTTAGCTTCATCGTGATGACAAAAACAATAAAAAACTTTTAAGCTATATCCCTCATCATACAAATTATGTGGATTATTTGTCTGTTCATAAAGTGTTTTTGAACAACATTTTCAGAATTAAACCTTTTGAGGAGTCCCATACTAGGACGAAACAGCTGTCCAGTACTCCCAGGTTTCCTTTGTTCCTCCAACTGATGTCAGTCTACGATGAATAACAACTTGGGATTATTAATTATTATTATTATTTGTCCTATTGGGTTCCTAGTGGAACTTAGAGCTTCAGTAGCATGTCACCATTTCACTCTCTTCTCTGTAGTCTTTTCAACCTCGCTTCACGTTTGCCCACAAGCTTTCATTTCTCCCTCACCTCGGACACCCAACTCGTCGTTTCCCATTTGAGTTCTACTCAAGGACCTGGCCTGGCCTGGTACGTGATGTCCCAAAACGATCTTCTCAGTGTGTGTTCAATACAATCCATCTCCACCTTCTTCTTCTTCTTCTGCATATTTGTTGGGCGATAGTCTCTCGATAGGTTGGTTCGTTGCCAGTCAGAGTTCCGTGTAGCCTATTCTTTCTGGCCATCCAATCTTCAGTATCGAGTGAGCGTAGGTGGCAGGTATTGATGAATATCTGTAGTTTGTTGGAAATGCCTTTTGTAAAGCGCCAAGTTTCTTAACCACAGAGAAGCAGCATTCGGTATTTTCGCCTAATCGAACACATCATACCATGTCGTTGTTGTTTAGTATAAATTACACTTTTCACATTAATCCTCTAACGACTGATACCTCAGAAAAATTCAGGCCTGAATAAAAAATCTGTGTTGATAACTACTTTTTTGATTGCTTAATAACGGCTAGAATTCATAAATATGTCATTTTTACTTCATAATCAAGGTGCCACAACTTGTGACATTTTGATTGACACTTGTTTAACTTAGAGGTAGTATTCATTATGGACTGACATCAGATGGACAACCATTGAGAACCTGGGAACATTGGGTAGCCGTTTCTTCTTAGTATGGGACTCTTAAGCAGTATACACCCACGACCCGACTAGGGATCGAGCCAAGGACCTTCAGGTTTGACGGTGAACACGTTAACCATTCAGCCACTGAGTCGATCTTCAGTGGTCCAATGATGTATTCTGCTGAGCAGTCCTATGCTAGGACGAAGAAGCTGTCCAGTGTTCCCAGGTTTTCAACTGTTCTTCAACTGATGTCAGTCCATGATGAATACTACCTCAAATTAAAATCCTCATTCATTTCAAATTGTTTTACTTATTTAACTATTAGATAGGTAAGAAGAGTTACTTACAGGCAGCCGAATTCCCGACAGATAAGAAATTCAGAAGCTAATATACTGTGTGATACATAGTCGGTAACTTTGTGAAGATAATAGGTTTTCAGTGACTAAATGACTGAGTAACAGTGGAGAGCACTCATTTCCAACCAGTATTTACTGCATATGGCCAAAGCTGGCGGTCAAATAAATATTTTTTGCAATAGTATCAGATGAGACACTCAATGTGGTTGACCGCAAGTATGAAGAGGTGTGTTGGAAATATGCACTACTAGGCAAGATGGTTAAATAATGCCTTACATAAGCCTAACATTGCCATCTTGGACTTATCTCAGATGTAGCATGAAGAGAAATGAGGAATGAAATAGAATTGATTTATCCAACTGTCAGGTAATAACGGACTATACTATGTTGCAAGTTGTTAAACAACAGCTGGAAATGGTTAGTCTCATGAAGTTAACTTTATAGTAAGAAGCATTCTGACCTCTTTTCAAAAGTATGGTTGAATTTATTTATATTCTCTCTCTATTCAGCGTGAAACTAACTTCTAGTTTTCTCATTCTGTATAATATACTTCTTTGCTTAATCACTAGAAATAATATTGAAACTCATATGCAACTTGTATGATGTCACGCATTGATTCAATACATATGGCGTCACTTCCTACACCATATAACCGTATGCATATTGAGCACTAGTCTGGTATACAGAGTAGTGTCAAAAAGGCTGTTAGGTGTTTCAAATCATAAGTGGTAGTTGTTTGATAGTCACATATTCAGTTATGAATCCATTTTATCTGTCAAAGAATGGTATATTTCCTAGAATTTTGACGAAATAACCTAAAGTGCTAATTATGCATAGCCTCTAGGTGCTGTTAGTTCGAACTATTTTCCCAATTCTGTCATCTTAAATTCTCAGTCTAATTTCTCATAATTTGTTTTCATTCGCTGATACATATAGACTTCTACTTACTTTTGGAATTATACTACTTTCAGGCACCAATTCTGTTTCCGATAATATATGTATCAATAACTCTGTTACTGGTCATTTTTGCATTTGTGGCTGCACCAACAGAATCTTGTAAGTAGATATTCCATATTAAATTTCATGTTTAGTTAGTGTTTATCATCAGTAGTTGTCGTGAATAGTAAAAGTCTAAAAATTGTCTACTTCATCTGCTATTGTACAAATTCATTTTAGATATGATAACTGAACGCTTTCAGTTACCCTTAGTCAACTAATTTCTGTTATAAATAAGCATATGTTTAACCTTTCATCAGCTCTGTTAATTAGTTTTTTACTGATGACAATACGATAGTTTCAGTGGACGAATGAAACTAATGACTAAGATAAAGATAACAAATGATTGAAGTATTTGTTACAAGTTCCATTTTACGAGTCGCTTTTAGAAGGTAGTGGTTAACCAAAGTCACGTGCTTGTTTGAATTCACCTGAAACCTGGAGGATACTGACGTTCACTGAGAGTGTTTCTGAATGCTACAGCGACTGACTACCAGTTATTCATAATTTCAAGGTAGATCTATTACGTGGCATAATCATCAACGAAATTACAACAAAACATGCTATAGTGAAATGCTGTCCTCTGCTGGCTTGTAACTTTCTAACAGTCTCACAGTGGCTGCTACCCTAATCAAAAACATTCTCCATTTCCTGCTACTTCACGATTTCTTACAACCATCATCAAAAATTGTATCTCTTTTGCAAGTCAGGGGCCAGAGATGACTTGGTTCAAGATCCATTTGTCGTAGTCCTAATGAGGAGCCATGTCCTATAGAGTCAACAAAGTTAAGTGTGAAGATGGAGGTTCACATAGGACATCTAGCTGTCACGATCCGAAAAAAGTTAGAACTGTAAGCGACTGAATTCCAGTCCAGTAAGGGGATCACTGCCTGCTTGTAACTGCTCTGGATATGAACCCAAATGAGGTTGTGGTGTGAACTGCTGTGCAGTCCAAAAGTTCGATGGAAGGGGTGACAGCTACATGGCTATTCCAAATGGTTAGTCAACTGTTATCTGTCAGTAATAGAAATTACTTTTAATCAATCAGGTGACAATTCAAATGTATATATATAACGCTTTAGAATTTCAGGATCAACAAATCCAGACCAATTTCTCAAGAGTCGAAGCAGATCAAATCAAGAATCGTATTTAGTGAATTAAAATATCGGTTATTAGTTCGACTATATGAGAAAGCCTTAGTTTGGCGGACTTTCATTACTGATACTGGGTAATGCTTGAATTTGAGATGAAATTTGGCAAGCGGCAGTATTCTGACCAGTGAAATAAAAATCTGGTTGGCTTTTGGGTCTTGTAGCTCTTATGGTAGAGCACGGAGCTGGAATCATAGAGGTCGCTGGTTCGAATCCTTCAGAGGTTTACACTTTCATTTTACCTTCATTCATCACCCAGTCTGAGTTAAGATATTTTAAATTTGTGTACAACGCAGAATATAGGAGAATTAGTTCCTTTTAGCAAACTGATACTGAAATAAGAAGAATAGTAGGTACATAAATGTGGATAACTATAAGAGTGCTGCTGTAGTACAGTGTTCTAAGGACAGGAATTTCAGTCAAAAATCACGCGTCCATATTTACTCTATCTGCTTCAGCAGAGAAGAGTTACTATTATTATTATCATTATTATTATTAGTAGTATTATTATAATCATTATGTGAGTGTGACATCATTGAATCAAGCGAAAAAAAGATTTTTGTTATGGTCATATAGCTTCTAATGTGTTCTCATTTCGAATATATTTTTCTTATGTGTATGCAAGCAGGATTGGAAAAGCTTATCATCGATGAATTCTGAAAGTCTATGCAACTATAGTGATCACATTACATCCGTGATTCTAAAACCCATATAGACATGTCATTTATTAGAAATCGTATTATTATTCAAACCCATAGTTACTTTTCGACGTAAACTCCTAAGGATATGGTTATAAAAGAAGTGTAAATGCCTTTAGTAGCTTTCATTTATGTGTAGATCTCTTTGTAAAGCTTTTATTCCTCGTATTATATGACCTATCTGAATATGAATAAATTCTCTTCAATTCGATTGCAGTACACTTTAGGAGTTTGTAAAGATTTATCGACTTCAAGCTGATATTCATCATAAACTGATGTCAGTAGCTGTACTAACCGATGAAATTCTTACAGGTTGTATCATATCTGTTAACACTTTTGATACTTTATTGTTATTTCTGGATAACAAATAGAGTTTCCGTGGACAGTCATTTAGGAAAAATCACATGCTATTTATGAAGGTTACTACTATTAAGAACAATCTTTCAGTTTTTTAGTCAGAAACATACTAATCATATCAATTAAAAGCATTTTACGCCACTGTACATATATATTACATCAATTTATTTATTTATTTTAAGCTTGTATGTTCACTTACTAACCACTTGTTTAAATTACTTTCTTTTCTTATCTACAGTATTCGGTGTTGCCATAATTTGTACTGGTATACCAGTTTACTTAATTGGATGTGTATGGAAAAATAAGCCAAAGTCATTTCAACGAAAGTTCAGTAAGTAACCATACCAATATTTCGTTTTGAGTTCAAAATCAATTTATTCCACTTTATCGTCGTGTCTAGTTTAAGGCTAGGATTAAAATGGCATTCAAACCAACAAACTCACTTAGAAACAAGCTTTCTAGGTTAAAAGATCCTATCGATGCAATTCAGCAAAATAATCTGGTTTACCAGATCCCTTGCAGTGATTGCAAGGTGAAGTACATAGGTCAAAGCAGTCGACAAGGATTGATTAAAATAACAGAACACAAAAACTTAGCTAAATCAAGATAAGTAGGTCCTAATAAGATTAGAAATCTAGAGAAAAACTCGGCTATAGCTCTGCATACAATGACACACAATCACACAGTAGGGTGGGATAGGGCGACAGTGCTGAAAACTAACCCAGTTAGGTGGAGGGAGAGGTTGATAACCGAATCTTTGTTTATCGAATCAACCCCAAACACATGCCATCGAAATGATGCTGCACCTGTCTCAGATATATGGAAAATTCTACTACTCTTGTCATAACAGAGAAGAAGAGAAAATTAGGAATATATAAAGACTGTCTCTAAGTTGTGGAGTTACCTGATATGAATATGGACAATACATTATGTCGGAAACGTTATCCAGTAAATGCTACTGTTTCACTGTGTGATATTTCTAATAAACAGACTAAAATGGAATTATAATCGACCACAGTGCCCAAGTTTTACACTTATATTATATTAAGTCAGAATATGTAGTGAAATTCCTTCTGATAGAGAAGACGTTCTAAATGATGGTACCAGTATGACTGTTGTCAACTGTATTAAAAATATTTGAAGCTGTTGAGTACATTTCTGGAGCTAATGTGGAAGTATGACAAGTAGAAGGAGTTTCCGATCTAATAGGCAATCGCGACATTTGACACTGGTTTGTGAAATCCGAACTGTTACTAATCTATACACTATCAGTCACTTGTTAAATTTCTTCAGCATCTTGAACAAAATCTGTCTACATAGTTGAAATCAAGTTATCAAAAATGGTTCCTACATTGTATTGCTGAAACGTTTTACTTAAGTGACATTCCTGGTAGTACCTAAATGAGCATTCCCTTTCAATAAAGCAGTTCATGAACATGAGCATTGCGATATAATATAAAGACATCTGGATGAAGAAATATCCTTGGTCTGTTCATGCATACATGCTTGATATGAAAGGATTTGGAAACCATCTTTACGTAACAAAGATTGCTACTACTGTGTCTATACATTTCCTCAGTTAATTCCACATACAAGAGGCCAAAGAATCACAATTGACAAGCTACTTGTTGAGCAGTAACCAAGGTTGTATTATTGCTCTGTCGAATTCTCGATCTTGCAGTATTCACATAAAATATATTAATCTTTTCATAGCCTTTAAAATTAGGGTCAAGCGAACCAAAACATGAAAAGAAAAATCCCATCTGACTTACAACCTAGTAGTAACCAAGACTGGAGAATATTCAGATACACCAAAGCACATAACAGATCAATGCTGACTGAATCAGTTACCGTGTAGCAGTGCTTCTAAAGTGGCAAATTATTCGATGGTTGCAGTGTCAGGTATTATCCAGGAAGATGGGTCAGTATCAATAACAAACTCACTGAAATGTATCATACATAACCTTAGAGATTGTAAACAAGCTTGAAACCTTAGTCCTTCTGATGATTAACCGGTAGAGCTGTATGACTTTGATGTTTCCCAATAAGATAATGTTGTCAGTCGAATTTCTAAAACTCTTAAACGCTTAAAGGTAATACATATTCTATGCAATAACATATTAACTTAAAGTCAGTACACAGAATACAATGATAATATTCTGTTTGTTTTGTTACATTTTTCCAGATTCTTTCACAGTTGGGGTACAAAAGTTATTTAAACTCGTACCAACGGATTAAATGATCAATCAATGCTGTATGGTTTCGTACTTTTACTAATGACTACTGTTATTACTACTCTAACTGATTACAGTAGTATTAGTAGTACAAAGTTATTTTGCATGCAACATTCAGTATGGTTTTTTTTAGTAGTAGTTCAATTATACATACATTATGAAGTTTTAAATGATGATACAACTTATGATTCATAATCGTGTTCTCTAGTATTATTAGTATTGTTATTATGATCGTGAAACATGTTCGCCTTTTCTTCATTATTCTTTTCTGTATCCTTACAATTTTTATTTAATGACATTTCATTGAATAATTTCAAATAAGTAGGCAACGAAATACCATTCAGTGTTTTTTTATTTTTGATATTGTTATCGATTTCTTTTTTTTGTCAAACTTATGGAAGTTTACGTTTTCGTGTATACTTGTGTAGATGTTGTGCTTGCCAGTTTCGTCTTTTATGCACTATCGTCCAATTGAAAGTGTACAGTTATTTGCTTCTATACACATAACACAATATTGGAATCATTGAAAATAGTTGATTTCTTTTATCGGTGTTTACTTTTATCACTCATTTAGCAGTTAGGCAATTTATAAAAGAGAAAATTTGAAAATTGTTTTTATACGTTAATTTTAGGCTTACTTTTTTCAAGCAGACTTATTCATCACTCAGTACAGTCGTATGTGTAAAATAGAAATATTTGCATTGAAAAAAAAGACCATTTCATTAATTGGCCTAATTTTACAAATATTATTTATTCGAAAGAAAGAAAAACATAAAAGAATAGTCGCTTCTAGCGGTCTGCAAGGAGTCGGTCATTTCTAATCGACTTTGTCTATAATAATAATGCTTAAGAAACCATTAAAAGTTATAGAGTGACATGTAGCTGTTCTATTTTAATCTAAAAATTCACTATAGTATATATGAAAGACCATATGAAGAATCGAAACTAGGATAGTCTTGCCTCATGGTTAGAACATCAGTGCTTACCTAGTGGGTTGAAATCCAGTGGTCAGTGGTTTCCATAATTTCTGTTGCTTTTTGATGTAAAGCGATAGTCATTCACTGACGTTAGTAAGTATGTCTCCACAAATTCAACTTTGTAGTAAGAAGGACTTACTGTCATGGAATCAGTTTCATATACGATATATGAATGCTTACTACTGATAAGCTTCAAATTTGTACAAAACAGCTGTTCGCTACTATACTGTTTATCGCAGTTTTCTATTTTATACTCTTATCAGTGATAACAACTCGATAGAAGCAATTGTAATGAGTTCTCTGAGTTAATTACTGTTAAATTTTAGTACAGATTTTGTTTGTTTACTAGTTTTATTTTTGAATAAATTAACGAAACTTTTCAGATTATCATTTTCAATCATTCAGTGCTTAGAATTAATTCACTTATCTTTCAGATAGATCTTTTATTCTGGAAGATAAAGAATTTCAGGATTTATTTTGCACCAATGGAAATCTGCTTCTTTCTGACTCTGAAGATTACATCCCATACGTATTCTCTTTCACTTCACCGATGATTACGTTTCACAATGAATATATACATCAAACAGAAATTAGTAGATCGTTATTTCACAGCTTCTGTAACTCCTACATGTTGAATAACCGTCAGCATACTTTATCAATAGGGATCAGTTTCCTTTTTTATCCAATTCGAAATTGAAAATTTCTACCATTAATTTGTTATTATGCGATTCAACCACTAATTACCTATTACAAGGTTGCAAAAACACTTTGTAAGAACATGGAAGAAATTGGTATTGTTTATCACTATGATATAAACTAGAACTCCTAGATTTCTTCCAAATAATCATCACTTTTCCAAGGAAACTACCTTCACATAAACTTCCCTTACATCTTTAAAAAAATAGTCACTAAGGTACAGTAAGTTTATGCATAGCCTTTTGAAAAACTTAAATGAATATATGTAAGATAAAGCTCCATTAATATAGATGAATACTACTCATATTTATGTAAGTTTTATTAATTCTGTAATTTAGATTATTGAGTAATCTTCCTTATCTATGGTGTATATGTTTATACTCGTACTTCGGTAGTAACTACTAATTTATCGCTGATATGAAACACCAGAGGATATTACCTGAGTGACATACAACATGTTTCAAATTTATGATGGTTACATCAAGTAGAATAATCAACTGTCATCTTATACACTAAAGATGCAACAATTTGAACGGAGAACATTCTTTTCAATTAATTGCCATCGGGTTCTGCAGTAACAGAATGCTTTTAGAGGGTGTAAAATGTAGTCAAACTAGGAGCAACTACATTTTCAAAATGCAGTCATATCTAGGGATTGTAAGGAAATCTATTTTTGCTTCTTAAATTTGTCAATATTTGGATAACATATAATACATATACAGGAGATGAATGATGCAATGGTGAGTGAAAAGAAAATAGAAAAAAAGACAGAAGGGTCCTTAAGTTTACTGAAGGTTAAGAGAGAATAGCATTTGAACGTGATTTTTACGAATGCACAGTTCAGGTTTGGTCAACCTTATGGCGATAACCTCAGCTATGTTGAGTAGGTGTTGGCAAGCAATATGTGGTATCGTTTTCGGAAATATGAAGAATGACACTGAAAGCTTTATTGACATCTACACATGATGGCTTGTCTCTACTAGGTGAGTTAAGATGGAACTTTTCATCACTTTCCCTTCGTTTCTTTCTAAACAAAACCAATTAATCCTCTAGTATCGGGAGATGCACCTGCTTAATCTTACGCTTCATGTAACTTCTTCCATAGGAACAGTTTGATCTCTTATTTTGTCTGTAAGATAAATTTAGTGTGAAAGTTAAACATGGTTATCTTGAAATTAAAGAAGCTAAGTATGTTTAAATTGAGTGAAAAGTTACTTCTACTGTCGTCCGGTACCAATATAAGAGTAGAAATTTTTTCTTGGTGCATAATTAGTTTGAAAACCTTGCTGGTTTGAGGAGATTATTAACTCAAAGAGAACCCTAAATGATGAAAAGCCTATCGTTTGTTAATCCTTGTGGTTTTTGACTGTTGTACTGGATTCAATCAATCGATGTGTAGAAGCAAATGGGCTCGTTTGAAAATGCCTGGGCACTGTCCTAAGATTCATTACGTTGTAAGTTTTTTTGGTAGTGGCTAGCATTGAAATTATTATTATTATTATTTGTACCTTGGGTTCCTAGTGGAACATGGGGCTTCAGTAGCACGTCACCATTTCACTCTCTTCTCTGCACTCTTTTCAACCTGACTTCATCACTGCCCACAAACTTTCATTTCTTCCTCACATAATCTTCTCCATGTCACCCTCACCTCGGATGCACAACTCGTCGTTTCCCCTTTGGATTCAACTCGACGGCCTGGCCTGACACGTGATGCCCCGGAATAGTTTTCTCAGTCCACGCCCAATCCACTCCACTTTCTTCTTCTTCTTCTGCATATTTGTTGGGCGATGAGTTCTTGGTTGGTTGGTTCGTGGCCAGTCAGAGTTCCATGTAGCCTATTCTTTCTGGCCATCTGATCTCCACTATCAAGTGAGCGTAGGTGTCCAGTTTCTGAACCATCACACAGAAGCACTGATTTGACTGACATTAGTGTTGAGGATCCTGATGTTGTTCAGATTTTATGCTTAGAGCAGTGGAGTAGATCTGCACACTGATTTCAGATTAATGAAGAAAGACCCTTCTTGCTGTTTTTCCGATCCTGGTCTTGACATCCTCATCTGTGCCGTTACCGCTGCCTGTAGTTGAGAGGATGTTGCCTTGCCAGGGTAGGTGAAAGAGACAACTTGCTTTAGATTTCTCCCGTTCATAGTGATTGATGCTTGTTGTTGGTGGTGGCGGTAGTTGGATATCTTCATCACCTCTGTCATCTCTACCATCACCTGAAGGAGGTCCCGTCCTCCTTGGCTCCCTCAGCTCTTCTGTAAACTTGTTGGTATTTACCTGTAGATCTTCGGGTTTGTGCGACATTAGAAATTGGACATAAATCATGATCGGCGAAATCTAAATCTTTTTCTAGACTCTTTTTATCGGTCCAGCATAGGCGCATCTTCTGATAGCTCCTCACGGTTCGCTGCATAATCCAGTCATCCACAATGAGGAAGATCATTGGTGGTAGCAGGCAGCCTTGTCTTACTCTTATCTTCACTTCAACGGCATCACTGAGCTTTCCATTGTGAATAACTCTGCATGTGGCGTTTTCGTATAGCTACTGAATGAGGTCGATTAAGGTTGGTGGCACTAAAACCGTATAGTTGAAGCGGCTGCCAAATTACTTCTTGGTCAACACCTTGATCGAAGGCCTTTTCAAAGTGGATGAAGTTGAGGTAAAGATCCAGTTGACAGCTATTTTATACTGTGCTCTATAATGATCTGTAGCGTTGCAATTTGATCCACACATAATTTGTTCTTCCTGAAGCCAGCCGCCCTATTCCGGTCGTAATTCTGATCCCAGCGCATTGTTTAGTCTCTCCACGGTGACGCGGCATGATATTTTGCCTGCCTGGGGTGGACAACAGCACGATTCCTCGCCAGTTCTTGCTAAGACTTAGGTGGGCCCTTCTTTGGGAGTTTGACAAGGTACTCCTTCTTCCAGTCGGCAGGTACCCATCCCTCCTTCCTTCTTTCCTTCCAAACCTTCTGCATTAGCGATGTGGTGTGAGCATGTCCCCTCCTGATGTCTCTGCGTCTGTTTTCAGTGCTTCTGGTGGGATTCCATCTGGTCCTGCTGATTTCCCGCGTTTGAGTAACCCTATGGTGCTCAGGACTTCACTTCTGCTTTTGTCGGAGGGTTTGCGTTCACTGGAAGTTCTGCGGTTCTGGTGGTATTTCTGGACAAGTTGCAAGTGGTGGCGGTGGTCGATTCAAGAGTTATTTGAAGCGGTCAACCCATCATCCCCTTCGTTTCTCCGTTTTGGCGATAACTAAGTTTCCTTCACTATCTTTCATTGGTCTCATCTGTGTTGATCTCTTACTCACCAGATAGTAACCTGGTTATTTGATATACTGTTGTAAGGTCTGTGTCTCTCCTACCTGCAGCCTGTCCTGCTTCACTGGTAAATGTGTCGTAGAAGTGTCTTTTGTCTTTCCACGCACTCCACTCCGCTTCACATCTTTGTCCACTGTGGTGTTAAGTAAGTTGTATTCATTTCCCCATTTCGTTGTTCATCCATCCACTGCACTGCACTGCACTGCGCTGGTTCATCTTCTGCTTCACCATCACCATCTTCCTCCCCATGCTCTATCAGCCTCCATGTGTCCGTCGAGATCCATTCCTTGTCTCGTTTCTTCTTACATCGGAATACAGCTCTCCAGGTTTCCTGCCACATCTCTTTCAAAGAGTTCCAGTGTTTCTCCACACAGGTTCTCTCAGAGATGTTGCTCAATGTCTTCCATTTTGTCCTGATGGCTGACTGATGTGAAGATGTCGTTTGAAGCTTCGTCCTTCAGTTTCTGTTCTCAGTGTTGAACTTGAACTGTGGTGTATCATCACCAGCTTCTTTGAAGGCTTTCAACTTGATTTTGAAGGCAGGTTCCTTGTACTGGATAATGAGTTGTATGAACACACATCTGCTTCTCTTCGTGAACTTTTGTCCAGTAGGCTGCGTCTCCACTTTCTTGAGATTGAGATGAAGTCAATCTTATTTTTGGTGTAGTGTGTCCATCTGGTGGAATCCATCGAGTGGAATCCCCATGGGAAGCGACGAGTTGGACGTCCGAGGGTGACATGGAGGAGGTCGTGCGAGCAGGAAATGAGAGCTTCTGGGCTGTCGTGGGACCAGGTTCAAAAGATCTCAGAGAAGAGAGTTAACTGGAGGCGTGCTACTGAAGCCCTATGTTCCACTAGGAACCCAAGGGACTAATAATAATAATAATAATAATAATAATAATAGTGTCCATCTGGTGAAGTGAATTCCATGTCGCTTTTTGAATATTCTTGTGCTTGAACACAGTGCCTCCAACCGCCAAATCATTAAATGGGCTGATGTCTGCAAAGAATTCTCCATTCTCCTTCATTTCACCGAGTGCTTCTCGACCCATGTTGAGTTCTCTTCCTGTGTTGTCCGCTCCCAGTTTGGCATTCATGTCGCCCATTAGAATGGATTTTGATGTCGCCAACTGGGGTATTGTGTAGTATTGATTGCACTTGTCTATGAAATTCCTCCTTTTTCTCTTGATCCGCATTACTTGTAGGTGCATACCTTAACACTGCAAGATTGCGACTCTCCTTCATTTCGAGCTTAATCCATCTTACTGTCATGATCCTGATACTGAAGGAAATTGGTTCATAATGCATGAGAGAGAGCCTTAGATGCTGTTGCCGATATCATGATAGCCACTCCAAAGCT